GAAGTGTTTGTAGAATGATTGTGGGATAGGATGGTTCTAATGATAAGGTTGGTTGATGGCCAGGGTAAGTATGGAGTGATTATTTTTTATGAGAGGAGGATGGAAATGAAGGAGGAAGAAGCCTCTGAAATGGAGGAGGGATTAGAGGAACCAAAGGATGTTGATGTGTAAGAGGTCCATATGGTCCATAGGACAGCTGATTGGGTTAGGCGGGCAATGTGTTTGATTTTTGAAGGGAGATATGATTGAATAATGGAAATTGGAGAAGGAAGGTGTGAGATTAGTAGGGAAATGAGTGTAGATAGGTTCCAAAGGTTGGATGCAAAAGGACAGGTATGGAACATATGTGAAAGAGTGTTAGGAGTGTTAGGACACCATGGACAAAAGCCAGAGTAAGTGGAAATATGGGCTATTTTGATGCCAATAGGGAGTGATTGATGGGAGATCTTCCATAAAAGGTCATGAATTTTATGAGGACGGTGAGAGTGGTGAATTTCTTTCCATGTAAGTGGTCCAATGTGAGGGGAAGGAGAATAATAATAAGGTGATGTTGGTGGAGAGGGGGAGGAGAGGAGAATGGCACGAAGGTGAGGAAGAGAGGGAGATGAAGGGATGGTAAAAGGGGAGAGAGTTTCAATTAAACGAGAGGAGTTCAGAAAGGAGTGGAGTGGTTCTATTTTGAGGTAGGTTCCTCAGTGATTAAGGATGCATGATGGAAGGGATTGTGAGAATGTTGTAATTGTGAAATGATTGAGTTGTTTGGTCCAAAATGGAGGATTTGGGGTAAAGGCTTGGGAGATTAATTTTGCAGAGTGAATCTGGCATTCTAGTTTGAAGTTTGGTAAAGAAATGCCTCCATTGGAGGTAGGAAGGGATGTATATGTGAAGTGCCCCAGATGAAATTATTAATTATCTTTTTAATGGATTTTATGAAGTCTGGAGGTGGGGGCAGATAGGAGTATAATACCAGAGTTTTGAGAGTAGTAGGGATTTGGAAATTAAGACTTTACCTTTGAGAGATAGATTATGAGAGGAAAGTAGGTTAGAGTGGTTAATGAGTTTATGTTGGAGATTGGACCAAAGAGAGTTAGTATTGAGAGGATTGATTGGGAGGTTGAAACTGAGGATGTTCAGTGTTGGTGAAATAGGAGGAGAATTGGGAATGGGAGGAAATGTAAGAGGTGATAGGGGAAAGAGTGAGGATTTTTGGATGTTGATTTGACCACCAGTAATGGAAAGATAAAGAGGGAAGATTGAGTTGAGGAGAAGGGAGAGGTCATTGGAAGAGTGGCCAATAATAGTGGTGTCATCAGCATATGCTCAAAGTGTAAGGGTAGGGACAGACATAATAAGATTAAAAAGGGGTTGAATTGAGAGGTTGAATAAAAGAGGAGCAAAAGGGTCCCCTTGGGGGACACCTTGGAGAACAGGAAAAGGAGAACTTAGAGAATTGTTGATCTTAATGGAAGTGGTGCAGTTGTGATATGAGCAATGTGTAAGATGAATGAAGGAAAGGGGGAAGGATGATTGTTGAAGGACATAGTCTAACCAAGAGGGAGAGACCCTATCATATGCCTTGGACCAGTCTAGGCCTCCCATATAAGTTTTATAAACTTTTCCCCACTTTAACTGCAAATATTCTCCTTCCAATTTTCAATATGATTTCAAATGGTTCTCCTCCTCCTTTATCTTGGTCCCACACCACTACCATCCTCATACATAAGAAAAACACTGACCCCCACTTTATAACAAACCTTCATCCTATTACACTCTCCAACACTGACATTAAACTTCTCTCCTCTAATCTTGCCTCCTGCTTTCAAACCTATGCCCACTCCTTAATTCACCCCTTTCAAACAGGCTTTATGAAAACAAGAAATATTTATGACACCATACTTGACATTAACTCCTACCTTACCATTCCCAATCCTCCTCCTGAAGCCTTTGTCCTTTCTGTAGTATGGTGACCATAAGATGACCACTGATATCGAATTGGAATTGCATCTTAGGGCATATGTATTAACTTTAGAAACATATGGCAAGCATGTTGTCAAGATGGAGAATGAATTACTTGAAACTTTGCATGAAAACTTTGCAAAATTGTATGACTTCAGTGGTATATTTGGAGTCTATATAGACTCCAAATATACCACTTATTTTGGACTATAACTATCCCATCTATGACGAGCGATTTACATTTACATACGTGACATTAATTCCAACAGTTTCCAAAACATTTCTCAATTAATCATCTTCTAACCTGTTACCAAATAATCGTAACAGATTGGATAATTTAATAAAATGACTGATTCTGTTCTTACTATTGCTGCTGACAATTGATTCCAAAGTTGTAGATAGTTGCTCATCTAATTCAACCTCTGTCCATAGTCGTCATCATCATCGTTGTCATTATCACTTTCAAAGACAATGAAATCTTCCTCAAACACATCTTCAGTCTCTGCATTATCAAGCTGCTTTCCCTTTCCTTTGTTTTTGGTCCCTGAAGAGCTGTTGCCTGAAAGTACTCGCGGTTCATATTACACGAAAGCTTTTGTTGATTCGACTTGTTTATCTCCTTGTGTGATGTGATACAAATGGGGTTGAAATGAACCAATCATCAGACAACAATTTCAAGACGGCGGTTAAGTTAGTGCTTCTCTCGAGATGTGAAACTGTTCGGGATATTTCCTGTTGCAATACAGCAAACAAGATGACATTTACAAGCGTGTTATCAAAACAATTAGACAAAACATGACTGAGCTTGTTTAAAAAAATAAAGGTTTGTGTTATTATTGTTATTGTGAATACGAAAAATGCAATTGTTGCCGCAACACATTCTTCGATAAGGCAACGTTTAAACTTAAAAAAAAAATTTTTTTACGCTTTTTATATAATTATCGCGTCTCTTAAAATAAACTTGTACGTCATGCCGCGCTCTATTGTATGCTTTGTGTCGTATTTGCACTGAAGGCTTAGCTCAGTTTCGACATGTTTGTTGCACATCTGACATAACAAAAAAATTGCGTACATATTTACTAACAGTCTTTTAAAACTATACAGTACATAGTATTTTTGCATTCTGGTAAATACTTGTATTAAGTTTATGCAAACTCGATATTTGGTCGCTTTATATGATTCTTTATTTTGTAGCAAGCGTGCAGATAGACTGCTTTCTTATTAAAATTAAAAAGCTGTTAATTATACATAAATTTTGATTTAAAGGCGATATATTAAGCTATTTTCCTTCAAGTTCTGTTAAACTGTTGAAATGTAAATGACGTGGTATACATATTTCTTCAGACCGGAACGGAAGTCAAAGGCACAAACTAAGATTTGTCTGGGCAGCATTACATGGGATTACCCATCATAAATCTACCAACAACATATAATTATCGTCCAATTATTATTCCGATTATTCTTAACATTTTATAAACAGTGTTCTCTGTTTCGTATAAAGCTGCTAACAAAAAAAGAGTCTTGACATAACATAACCAGTTTGCCTGATATAGATATATTATAATTAAGTAAGAAAGACATTTCTCCCAACGTTTCATAATCATTGGTTGATATTGACTCTTTTCATTCAGCTTTTGGATATTACATGTGGTGTATCCTATACATGAATAAACAACCCTTACAAGAAAATGAAATCTCTCCTGATAATGTGACATAACACGCCCCTGTCGATAGCGTATTGCATAGGTGTGCATACAACGAATTCGTTATAATTGTTTGTTGCAACATATTTTTATTTTTTTGCCCAAAATTAAGCACTCCTTACGGTGAAAGGGCGTTTATCGATGATAGGTTACGGTACACAACATAAATCTCCAGGTTCAGTAAAATGACTTTGCATTATTGTGTATGCCCATTAAAGTTCCGTGTCAAATCTTAATTGATCTTGCATATTGTGTGTCCACAGAGAGACAGGGTTTTGATGATAAAGAGTTTTTTTTATTGCCAGCGTTCATTGCCCAGTGTTTCGTCAACGTAAATAAAGTGCACTTTGCTTGAACTACATGTTCAAATTAAGAGTGTTCCAATACACAATTGAGTGAGTATTCCGGAAACGCACTGTGAGTAGAAGTGCTAGTAGTTTGAGAACAACAGAGTTTTTGCAAAAATTGTTCCTTTAGTATTCAATCAATAGATGGATTTTATCATAATAGTATTTAATTAAGATTGCACCAATTGTAAATTTTAGTAGAAGGAAGGGATTAACAATCATGCATGTCATCGATTATATTATAAGATCTGATACAATCAATGAATTCGTATATCTCCGTCATTCTTGATCTGACAGGTGGAAACACCATTTGTGTAATAAAATTACAGGTATTGGTATTGTTGTTATTACTCTATTTGTCCCTATGAAGATTCCATAGTCATGTGTCAATGTAACATATAACGCATATATGCAGTACGTTAATCTGTGGCTTGAAATTGAGCACGTTGTTGAATTACTGGTCGATATTGAATGAGGGTTGTGTGCAATTTTAATATTGACATTTTACACAAGCGAACACATCCCCTGTTATTTCTCCTATCCCCTGCGTAATGGCAACAAGCTTCAACTTCGACTTTTAATGCTGTGTCTTTATGTTGCAGGTTCATACAGGCCAGTAAACTAATTTAAATATGCCCGTGCTGCTTAATATTCGTTCTGAAAAACCAGTTAAAACATCAGAATCCGCACATGAGGTCTTGGATCGCTATTCATTAACTGTAACACGTGCGATTAAATCCATATAAAATGCCACATACTCCACCATACCAACAATGAATGAATAATGATCCTGCAATAGCGCCCTTCACACCTCCATCTGCATTTGTTTCCGCCTACCTTCGTTATAAAGAATTACATTTTTTTCTATAAAGTCGACTTCCTTAACTACAACCAATAATCGCAAAACAATATTCGCAAAGAAACAAAAATGAGCCATAACGAAACAACTGAAATTTTATGTGACTGGCGAATAACTTTGGAAGGTAATTCAGCGACTCATAACCCGTAGACTGTCCCATGTTGAGAATTTACCCTTTACCCAAAAGCACATTGATTTATTATTATTATGTAAAGTCCTGCATCCCAAACGCCATGCATATGGTGGCAACCTGAGAAACTACACGGGTTCCAATAAAGCTATGTAATTGGTGCTGGTTTTAGTTGATTACTTTTTAAACAATTCAAATAAAACCGTTATAATAGACTTGTTACACCAAAATTACCTGGAACGCGAAATTTCAAGAAAACAGCAAATTGTCCTTCTCCTCACTATTTTTCATAATGTTTCATAGGATGTACGGATTATCAGTTTTTACGCACTTTGTACCTGATCAATACGGTAGCCTGCTTTTTCATCTTCGTGATGATCACTGGTCTCTTAATATGGCGTGTAGCCGTACGTGGTCATCGCTTGATTGCCAAAGATCCTATGGGAGAAATGGGAATATTAAGACCTAGACCTTTGGAAGGTTTTTTATTATTGAGCATGTTTCATGTTGCGGGTAGGACATTGGATAAGAATTCATGAGAGAAGCATGTAAAAAAAAATTAGAAATTAATGGCAACAAAAATTTCCTTTTTTTTTTTTTTAGGACGCTTACTTTATTCCGTGTGTTTATTAAGCGATTTTCTTCCTAACTACGCCATAAAAGAATGTAGGTATATGATTGATGTCTGATGATTTCATTAGCAAATCGTTTGTTTGTTTTTTTACCATCATGTTCACACTTTTTCATTTATTTTTAGTCTTCCATGATGTAACTTTCACCATCTCGCTAGCAGGCATAGGAATATATTTGATCGGGTTAATCTATACAATTCCAAGATCCTACACATTTCAACGTCGATTAAATTCATACACTATCACTCCTAATGACCATCAAAGATTTGTATGGATCCCAAGGCCGGCCGTGGTAGATACTTTTGGATTTCTGATACTTCTTGGACCAGTTGTCTCCTTGAATACTTTTGCTATTTTGACAGGAGTTTATTATGACCGTAATGATGCGGCAACTGCTGAAAAATGGCTTACTGTGCATTATCTTGCGTGGAGCTTTTTCTGTTGGATTTTGATACTCGGCTTATTGTATGTTGGCAAACAGCTGACCACGATTATTGTCAGACATATTGAAGTAAGGCGGTTTGTTTTTTAAAGACGGATTGTTTAAAAAAAATATATATATACTCGTAAACCCAAACTAACATAGTCTCTTTTTAAAGGAAACCAAAGACTCTGGTACAGCCAGTGATTCAAAAGTTCGAAGTTTAGCTCTAGGACTTAAAAAGGTAAATATATTCGTTATGATTAGAACCCGTACTCTTCCGCGCTTGCCCACATATTTAATTTCGTCTTTTTTAAAATCCAGCTGCGCTATGTCCTAAACCTCGTTCTCAGCACGCTGCTGTTCTTTGCTATTGTCTCCCTCCTTTTTGCTCTCTTCCGTCAATACATCCTTACCCACAATATCATGCTTTCCTACTTTATTGCTACTTGCTGGGTTTTTATTGTACCAATAGTAACCGTGATTGTCATCACGGTTCTTGCAATAGAAATAAACGAAAAGGAACGTGTAAGAGTACACATATTGAGACAATCATCACTTGCCGGTACTGTGGAGGGTGAGCCGATGGCAAGAACAGGCGCATATAAATCAAAGGATAGAAAAGGGTTTCAGAGATCCGGAAGTATTTCATTCACAAAGGCGGAAGAACTCAGTACGATCGGTTCGGGCGGATCGATTGCAGTTGGAGTAGGTGAAGTGGATGCCGATGATGTCGAGAGCGTTGTTGCTTCACCAGTTCTGTTGGCTACGCATACGAATACGATCCCAGGGGTCGAATCTTCAAAATATAATGATCAGCAAGACGGTTCTAATTTAGGTGACATTGCACTTCAACCGTTGTCGAACAGTTATACTCCCAATTATAAACGGACCACGCGATATTGATTGATGTCTCACGAAACTGATGCTAAGCTAACCGGACTGTATAAAGACATCTCGGACACTTAAAGTACTCTCGGCACCACCATAATATTTGTATATACTCTTACGACGATAACACATGACTTCGTTTTTATCCATATCTTCATTCCCCACTCGTTATATAACATCATACATATTTTTGCCAACACAGCGACAACAACAACAGATACTCTATCACTTTTCGACTCTTTACTATTATTCAAACCCTTCCTTCTTTT